GGCTCCTAGTAGGGAGCTCGGATTTAGCGAGCTCGGGCTCCTGGTACCGAGCTCGGACTTGGGGAGCTCTGGTTTTAGGGAGCTCGGGTTTAGGGAGCTCGGGCTCCTAGTACCGAGCTTCGGACTTAGGGAGCTCGGACCCTTGATAGGGAGCTCGCTCTTAATCAGGGAGCTCGGGCTCCTAGTAGGGAGCTCGGATTTAGCGAGCTCGGGCTCCTGGTACCGAGCTTCGGACTTGGGGAGCTCTGGATTTAGGGAGCTCAGACCTTTGACAGGGAGCTCACTCTTAACAAAGAGCTCGGACTAAGTACAGCGGTCTGGAGTTCGGGCTCGGTAGTGAGTTTGGACTTGCTTCCGATGTTTGCTTTGGGTGCTCTACTGTCCCGAGCTGCTTGCCTTTGCCACGTGTCGGGCGATCGCGAGGCCGGGCCAAATTTCCCTTCATCAGTCATCGATACATGGGTGTAGTTTTACACCATTGTTCATCCAAACTTATACAGAAAATGCATTGATATTTTACACTATTCTTCCAAACGCACAGCAGTGTAAAAGTTGCATTTATTCGGTTCATTTTTTGCACTTGTATATTGGACCTATCTTCTTTTACACCGATGGAGTTTTGCCTTTACACCTCAAATAAACACAGCCTAATTTAATTTAATTCACATTTTTCTTTATCGATGTTTGTATTAGTTATGCGTGAAGTTATTAATTTCGTTCGTACTTATTACTCAGTATTATTATTGTTTTTTTTTTTTATATTTTTGTTTTAATTTCGTTCAATTTTTTTTAGTTTAACTTCTTGCACATTATTAATGCCACATATACATACTCCAACAACAATTGACTTGATTAACCCATGCTGAATATTTTCTTAACTTTTTTATATTAATTTTTGTTTTAATTCCGTTCAATAAATGCATTAAAATACAATTTTGAATTAGTAAAATACATTTTCCCCGAACCGGGGATGGGGCGGGGATGGGTTTTGTATATAATTCCCTGAACCAACCCTGAATTCGAAGGTGAAAGTAGTAAAATATCTTTAGGTTTAGTATTGATATTTAAAATATGTAGTAAAATATCTCTAGGTTTAATACTGATATTTAAAATATCTCTAAGTTTTTTCTAAATTTTTAAAATCATAGAACTCCACAATTCTATTTTGGAAGTACGCCGAAAGTAATATAATTCAATCCTAAAAACCCTCAAATTCCTATATTGTATGTATAAATTATCCACAGAATAAATAATTTTTAAGAAATTGCCTTAAAACGAGGAAAATTCGAGAATTACCCGTCCCCGATGGGGAGTGGATGCCTTGCCCCGAACCTGCCCCACCATCGAGGACGAGGCGGGAATGGGGAAAAGTATCTTGACAACGGGGGAGAGGGTGCCCTGCCTCAAACCCGCCCCGTTGCCATTCTTGGAGAGAATAAGAAAAGAGAGAGTGTGTGGGAGATGAGGGCCTCACTAAGAAGAGAAAGAGATGTGTGGGAGAGTAATCGTTGTAATGGCGGGACAGGGGAAAGGAAAAAAACAGAAAGAAGAAGAAGAGAGAGAGAGACTAAGGGAGAGAGAGGGTCTGTGGTGGCGGAATGGACGAATTGAAGAAGAAAGAAAAAAAACGGAAAGAGCAACAGGGAGAGAGAGGGAAGGCAACTTATAACTAAAGGGAAGAAGAAGAAGAAAAGGAGAGAGATGTGGGGGGGGGGGTTGCGCAATTTCGCTTGAATGGCGCTGTTCTGACAACCTGGCTGGTTATCTAAATGCGGTTGTCTGAATCATGCAACACACACAAGCATTTATGTTATTGAACACTTTTAACAACAAATACAAAGACTATACCTACATGCAACGCAACTAATTTACATTATCACTTCTTTTGCTTTATTATTATTTTTTGCATAGTTTAATTTCATATTTGTTATCATTAGCCCCTGCAACGCAAGTTACGCAAGGGCCCGCCCGCTGGTTTTGATTAGTTGTGATACATAAGATACCAATTTGAAGTCAATCAGCACGGCGCTTTTCTAGTGCCCAGTTAAATCGGAATTGGACCGGGATGGTTGATCATTTTTAGCACAATCCAGAAATTTCGAGCTTGGACCTCTAAGTTTGGTGTTCAGGCCCGGCCCATCTCGGATCTGGGCTATAGCCTTTATCACTGGTGACTGGTGCTAACTGCAAAGCCTGGCTTTGGTTCGACTCCGAATCTCCTGCCCATAAGAACTTCGGCTCGGCCCATGATCATCGTAGGTGGATCCATTTGATCCAACTATAAGGGGACCGAATTCGGGTCACCCTCAACTGAATGGAAATCGGAAAAATGGATACCGTTTGCAGCCTTCAGCCCTACTGGGCTCTATGACTACTGTGCTCGACTTGGCCGTAGAAGAGAGGAAGAATAGAGTGGGAGGACGCAGTGCCGTCGACGTCAAAGACCGCCGGCGGCGACGCTATTGGATGTGATAAAGGTAATTTCTCTTTCTCTCTCCCCTCTTCTTCTTCCGTTTGTTTTCTTTCTTTTAATCTGTTCTTGGTCGATACATATCGACTATTTCGACTTATATTGCTTCGTATCGCTGTGTTAAATATCCAAGCAAAAATGATCTCTTTCATTTCTGTCATGGTGTAGTGGAAGTCTTTCCTTTGGTTCTATACACTGTAACAACAATGGCCGCGGCAATAGCAATATCACAGAGAACTTGGTCCCGTTTCAGTGCTAATCAAGTCTTCCGAAGATCCATTATGCCTCTACTTAACCATTCTAGAACGAGTTCTTCTGTTCCCAAATTTCAGCCCCAGATTCTTCCTTCTCAGAGACCCATAGCAAATTCTTTTCCGGGATTTCCTTCATCTGATCACCGGTTCTTCTCCTCCGTTTCCTCGGTCTCCTCGGAGAGAGTGGTTCATGAGCTTCTCGCGGAAGTCGAGAGGGAGAAGCAAAGGGAGAGAGAGGAAAAGAAAAGGGCTGGCATAGAAGTCGATGACGACGAGGATGAAGAGGACTACATGGGTGTTGGGCCGCTGATTGAGAAGCTCGAGAAGGAGAGGTTGAAGGATACTGGAGACCTTAACATGTATGAAGAGCCCACAGATTCGGAGAGTGAGGACGATGAGAGGTTCTCACCTGATGCCGTGAAGAAGCGAGTGGATGAGTTTGAGAGGAAGTACAAGAGACATGAAGAACTACTCAAGAACTTCACCGAGGCGGGTAATGGGTTTTAATATCTATTCCTTACGTTAATCTTAGCTTGAATCATTCAACTGGTTTCTACAATTTGTGAGAACTAGCGCACATTCAGTGTCAAATTTCTTGTTTCTGGAATAACTGTGATTGATATTTCTTTATATAAATGGTGAGATTATATGTCATTGGATTGCCAATGCTCTTTTAACCCCCTTGAAATTTATTGATTTAAAAAACATGGGTTCCTTGTGTATTATTGTTGTGTTATTAGTAGATGACATGGGTGCCTTCTTGACAGAGACACTTGATGATGCATTCAAATGGATGAATAGAATTGACAAATTTGAACAGAAACATTTGCGACTTCCATTAGAGTACAGGGTTATTGGGGAGATGATGAACCGTCTGAAAGAAGCCACTGGAAAGGAGAGATTTATGCTTCTTCAAAAACTAAATAGGGCTATGAGGATGGTGGAATGGAAGGAGGCATATGATCCTAATAATCCTGCTAATTATGGAGTTATCCAGCATCAACAAGTAGGGCCCTCTGTTGAATTTCTAGAACATGCTGGATTTGAAAGAGAAAAGCAAATGATTCAAGGGGCTGAGTTGGGGGAAGATTCTGATGAAGACTTTAGTGATATAAAGGATAAAGATGATGTATTGTTGGAGAAACTTAATGCCATTGATAAGAAACTCGAAGAAAAGCTTGCAGAATTAGATCACACATTTGGGAAGAAGGGCAAGGTTCTAGAGGAGGAAATCAGAGACCTTGCAGAGGAGAGGAACTCATTGACTGAGAAGAAACGGAGGCCTCTTTACAGAAAGGTAAGTGAATATTTAAGGTTATACTTGATATTTGTATTGCTAACTATGTACCCAGATGCAACAAATATATGGTATTTGATATGAAATTTACACTAAAAAATGAAATATTTGATATGATATACCACCGTTGTACAGGTATCATAGATGGCTAAATTAATGAGTTGGAATTTGAGAAACACACAAATAACTTTGTTTGATGATTTGATAAATGTACAAGCATGATTTGAATCATTTGATGCAATTATTTTGTGCATCAGTTATTCTTTTTCCTTTTCTATAATTTGTTTGTTCTTCCCTGTGAGGCATTAAAATATTTAAGTTTTTTAGCTTTCCCTTTTTCTGTTTTGTTCTTCTTGTATTGGGCATTGAACAATTTCAGTTTTTTGTAGAATAGGACAAGAAGCCTGAAACATATAAACATTATTCCCTTCCCTATTTTTTCCTTCTTTTATGTTGTATGTGATTCATATGACTTCATGCATATCTTGTGTTCTGAATGTATAACAAAGCCATGTGGCTATAGATAGCTAGGGATTTACATTTACATATGAAAGGAATGTACATGAAGATGGTAGCTATCTTATGTAACCAACCATACAAACAGCAAGGACATGCTTGGATAGTGTACACTGTACATTTGAATGAGTCCCCCCTGCCCCAATTCATTTGAGAAGTATTGGTTATTGGAAGTCATGTTCATAGTTGGCCTTGACTTTTAGCAACTAGGTGCCCTTCTAGGCAACTAGGCACCCACCTAGGTGACAAAAATGACAAGGCGAGCACCTTTTATAATATCATTTATATTGCTGTATCTTATTAATGTATGTGTTAATACATTTTATTATATATATATATATCAACTATACTTTGTTTTATTGTTTTACTATTGAAATTTAAAAGATCAAAGGGTTTTGAGGAGAGAAAAAGAAAGAAAGAAAGAAAGAATAGAATTATAAAGAGGTTCTTTTTTTGTATTCTCTCTTTCTCTCTCTAATTAAATGAAACAAAAACTCCATCCTTGTTTTTTCTATTTTACTTTCCATCTTGAATATGTATCATATAAAGTTAATAACCTTCTTTAGCTGCTAATTGATATGAAATTTCTCTATTAAATCCTTATTATAGTAGTATTATATTTGAAAATAATGAAGGGAAAATTCTTGATAAGTACCCTGTACTTTGGGCCTAGTGTCACTTTGGTCCCAAAACTTTAAAACGCAACAATTCAGTTCTGAAACTTTTAAATTGCTTTGTCAATCCATTCAATTTCTGAGAATCCATTTAGGCGAGTTCTAATTCGATCATCAAGGTCGTGTTTTTTCTGCTCTTATAGGGTTTTGTTTGTTGAACTAGGTTTAGGCAATGACAGAGCTGGAGCATTGAAGAATGCGAAAATAATGGATAATCGATAGTTAGAAAAAAATGTGTACATCAATTTGAAGAGCAATGGATAATCAAATAAATTCGCTCTCACACCTTGGTTTGACTGGAAATGTAGTCCTTTAGGTTGATATTGTGCCTCTTGTTTGACTTCCCTTGGTGGTGTGTTGGGAGGGCTTGTTTTTGTGGTTCAGTAGTCATGGCCAAAGTAGTGAAATGCTGAAACCAGACATCGCGTGGACTATTTGATGCTTGTTTTGGATCATTTTAAAAGAAGAAAATGTGAGAAATTGCAGCTAGTGATTGAGACAGACAGGGCAAGAAGCATCGGGAACAGAAGTAGAACTGGTGGAGTAGGGGTGTCAATGGACCGGATTTGGGTTGGACTCCATCCAAATCAAAATCCATTTGGACGGATTGGATGGACCAATAAGACATATTGAATTTGGATGGACTGGACGAACCAATATGACATATTGGATTGGACCTGGTCCGTCCATAATGAATTTATATTGGATCGAGCCATCTGGTCCATTGATAGAAGATAAGAACATAGGTGTCAATGGACCAAGTTTGAGTTGAAACCAATCTAAATTAACAGGAATTTGAACAGATTGGACAGTCTCTTGATTGGTCCAAAATATTTATTGGACTAGATTGGACCAGGTCCATTTGTAATGGATTCACATTGGACTGGACCGGATTGGACCAAAACCAGTCCAATTGACACCCCTAGGTGGAGGAATAATTAGGAGGAAATTCTTTTTGGAATAGTTATTTGAGTGGTAATGGCTGAATAGTTTGGGAGATTACGCTTTTGATAATTTTGTTGGTGCCTTGGTGAATTTCCAAGTGGTGGCCATTGCGGTTTTTGTTTTTGTTTGTGTTGAGTTGGGCCGATTTCATGTTATTAGGCCCAGTCATTTATTTTTTATTTTTTAAGTTGTTAAGTTAGGAAGTTATTGGGCTTTAGGCCCATTAGTTTTTTATTTTTTAAGTTGTGACTGTTCAGCTACTTAAAGTAGCTGCCCTACTAAGGGCATTCTTGTATTCTTTCATTATTTTATTTTAAGTATATAAGTCAAAGAGGGGTTCGCGGCCAAATCTATTCTATTCTGGCTTCATCCCACTCTCTTTTCTCCTCTCTCTTTCTCTCTTGCTGAAACCTTTCAGTGTCTTCTACTTTTCTTCACAAAGTATACATCAGAATTAGTTATTAGCAACTTCTACTTGGTATCAGAGCAGGCCGAAGGTTTCTTGAGTTGCTCTATCGTTCAGCCCTAGATTGGCTGATTGCATGGTGATATGAAAGGCTGATTGAAGATCTCAAGTAAGCCCAGTTTTTGGATTTTTTGGTGTATCTGTTTTACCCTGTAGCTGGTCTAGCGTTTTCCATCAAATTCAGGAAGAACTGGAGAAAGGGGGAGAGTCCTGCTTTTGTAGGACCCTTCAATTTTGACCTAGGAAGTGGCACCCTAATTTTTTAGGGTTCCTTGGAGTTTGAAGAGGGCGGTTCAAGTCCTACCTTTTTTGGAGGTCTCTGGAGAGAGCGGCTGTCTCTTCTCTCTCTTCTCCTGTCCCGTAGAAAGGGAATCTTTTGTGGAAGGATCATTTGAGGTACCAGAAGGGTGTCTGTGGTACCTGAAGGGATTTATTTCATGTTCTTTCATCTTAAGTGACCTTTTAACCCTTTTTTGAGAATTATGGAGGGTAACGGAGTTGAAAACAAACCCGGGAGTGAAATGGGACCAGCGAGAGGAGGTGTCAGAGACCTTTTCGGGGCTGGGACCATCACTACAGTTAAGTTAGATGGTACAAACTATTTAGAATGGTCACAATCTGCAAAGATGGCCATCAGTGCTCGTGGGAAGTTGGGGTATATCATTGGTGAGGAAGTAAAGCTCGAGACTAACAGCTCCCGGTGGGTACAGGAAACTTATATGGTAATGACTTGGCTGTGCAATTTGATGCTGCCCCATATAAGTAATTTTTTTTTGTGGGCAAATACAGCTAAGGGAATATGGGATGGGGTTGCAAAAACCTACTCACAGAGTGAAAATGTTGCTATGATCTATCAGTTGAGGAATCAGATTATTGCTACCAAACAGGGAGATGGACCTATTTCTGTCTATTTTGTGGCCCTTAAAACCCTATGACAGGAGATTGACCATCTAGAGACAATTGTTTGGGAAACCACTAAGGATGTAGCTGTCTACAAGAAGCTCTTAGAGAAGTATAGTCTTTGAATTTCTTGCTGGTCTTAAATCCCGAATATGATATTGCAAGGTAGCATATCGTTTCCAGGGACAGTGTTACTCTCTCTCAAGCATATATGCCTTTGTATCAGGGGAAGAGAGTAGGAGGAATGTGATGATGAAGAATTCTGGTTTTGAATAATTAGCCATGGTCAGTACTATGAAACCTAAACAGAGTGGAGATCGGGGTGGCAGTGAAATCGGGAAGGAAAATAAGAAGGATTTGATTTGTGATTACTGTAAAAAGCCTAAATACACAAGAGATACTTGTTGGAAGCTTCATCCTCATCTTGTGCTGAATAGACTTAAAAACAAGAAGGGAAATGCTAACATGGCTGTCACTGGTGACGTACCTGGCCCCCCTACTACAACTACTTTGGAGTCTGTTGCAGTTGCTGCAGTGAGGGCCGAACTTGAGAGATATGGGCAGTTCCTAAGTCAGCGAGATACAGTCAACCCTAATCTAGTAACAGGTGGATAGCTAGGTACAGGTGGTTTTGGTGGTGGACATTCAACTTCCTTTGCTCATACAGGTAGTTCACATGCCACTGCAAACTATGTTTCTACTACAGGTAAGGAGGGACCTCATTGGATTATAGATTCTGGAGCCTTAGAGCACATGACCCATAGTTCCACTATTTTCTCTTCTTACCAACTCTGTTCTGGCAGAGATAGAGTCTCCACAGCCAATGGATCTCATGTTCCCATTGCTGGGAAGGGGTCTGTTAAGATTATTGATTCCATTTACCTACCTTCTGTCCTTCATGTTCTTCATGTTCTTCATGTTCCTAGATTGAGTACTAACGTGTTATCTGCTAGTAGTTTGATTAAGAACTTGAATCGCTCAGTGATTTTTTTTCCTGGCCATTGTGTTTTGCCGGATTTGGATTCAAAGAGGACCATTGGGAGTGGTCGTGAAGTGAATGGAATCTACCTCCTGGTTGTGCTTCCTCATCATCAGATTCATCATGTTAGTAGGGATATTGAGTCAGAGTCTGTGAGATTATGCTTTGGCATAATCGTTTGGTAATTTGTCTTTTTCTTCTTTGCGCTTCTTATTTCTAAAGCTATATGAGTCTGTTAATTTGTCCAGTTTAGAGTGTGAAGGTTGTCAGTTTGGAAAACATTGTAGACATTCCTTTAAAGATAGTAATAAAAGGTGTTCATCTACTTTTGATGTTATTCATTTTGATGTATGGGGACCATACCATGTTCTTTCTATGGGTGGTTATCGATATTTCCTTTTGTTTGTGGATGACTTTTCTCGGTATTCTTGGATTTACTTAATGAGATCTCGGGAAGAGGTACCATCCTTGGTTTGACAATTTCATCAGGTGGTGCTAACACAGTTTGGGGTATGAGTGA